AAAAAGTGTAAATTATTGTTCATCTCCATCTCTATTGTCAACTTAACATTCCAGTCAATCTGGTTAATTAAAAACAATAAATTATCTAAGCTATCCTTGCTATGCTGCCATATGGCAAAGTAGTCATCCATGCATCTAACTAACAGTTTGGGTTTCAATCTTACCTCTTCCATGAAGTGTTCTTCCATTCTTGACATGTAATTATTAGCCCAAATTGGAGCCAAGCAAGATCCTATTGCTAGACCTTATCATTAAAGGTAAAGTATGTGCTGCTCATGAATAGATTAAGAAGCCTTAAGATTGCGGTTTTGCTCAGATTTGCTTCCTCAAAAAATTCTAGGCGTTATCTAGTCTGAGTTTTAGTGTTTCAATAGCTCTATAAACTGGGATTTTAGTGTAGATTGATAACAGATCAAGGCTAATCAAAGTAACTTGTTCTTTAATTCTCTATTGATCTATTAATCTAGAAAATTCATATGAATTCTTTACTGAATATTTCCAATATTCAGCCAATTTCCTTAGTTGTATACATGAGAAACGTGAGATTCTATGCATCACAGTATTCTTTTTATTAACAATCAATCTTAAAGGAACTCCTTCCTTGTGTGTTTTTGGAAGGCCGTAAGCCGAGGGTGCCCAACATGTAGATACTTCATTATGTGAAACACAAATTATGAAACAAGGGATTCCTCGATATCCAACTTTTCTTCGCATACACTACGTACGCATGGTATGAATTCTTATCAACTTTCTTCTGGCTATACAAAAACCTAGAAATCTCTATCCCGGCAAGTCAATGCTATTATATTTAAAAAAATTTGTATTTCACATAATATTGTACCTAGATGTATTATTCTTGGTAGACATCCAGATTTAGCTATTTCCACTAATATGAAACTGGAGCAAGTATCAGGTGATTTGGTTAAGACTAGACTAGAGTAGAGTATATATACCACTTTTTAGGGATTTGCCGATAAGTTTTCTTGACTCGTTAGCTTGAATTTTGTTTTGACGATGTTACCTCGCTCTGATGATTTCCGTCATATGACGGACGAAAGCTTAGCACGCTTTTACTGGAATCGAAGCAGATTGCATCGGAAACAGCGTCAGCATGAATGTTCTAGTAAAGCCAATCGACAGCTGGTCAAGAGGAATCCTCCGTCGTCTTCTGGTGGAACCGACCATCGAATCTCTTCACCCAACACTTCCATTCGAAATGGAAGTAAGCTCAACAATTAAGACTTGACTTAGAGAAAGTATAGACAAATTGCATAACCTGATTAGAATCAAAACGAGGACTAGAAGCTTCTTTTCTCTGCTCTTTTCACAAAAAGACTTTCTCAAATTGCAGAATATGGCGGACAGTCTTGTGGACAGGATGGATAAGATCCATAGATGGCGAGATGATAACAAATTGAGAAATTTAGGCATCAACATCAGCTCAATGAATCATCGAAACAATAGGGAGGTAGTTAAACTTAGTGCTATTTGTTTTAGTAAAAATAAACTCTTTAATTTACCCATTATTCCTAAATATGCTAATGTTATACTCGTCTTGGAAAGGTAGTTGAGCGGCCTGATTAAACTCAACTAGTCTTTTCTTCTCTTGGTTCTAATCATAGTCACTCATCTGTACTTCTAGTTCATTCTTTCTCTTTCGCATTGAGACCAAAAACAAAAAAGGCTTATCAACAAAACCAAACGAGTGTCCGACATGTTTGTAGAAAAGTGGAGATTGGGATCATAAAATCTTGATGGCCAAAAACAGACGTTCCTTTTTGCTGTCCTAATTGCTTTGACCCATCACTACCAGTTTCGTGCATAAGCGAACGCAAATAGGTACGTGCACATACAGAGACAGATACACTCACAGGCATCGAAGTTGACATATGACCGTAACTAACTAAATCACTTTATACTTGATCAAAGAGGCCAGATGTGGAATATATATACTACTTTTTAGGGATTTGCAGTTGAATTTTCTCGACTCATTAGCTTGAATTATGTTGTGGCGATGAGGTCTTTCTCTGATGATGTTCGTCACAAGACGGACGAGAGCTTAGCACCTTTTCACCGGAATCGAACCAGATTACCTCGACAGCTGGTCAACAGTCCTCACCATCTTGTTCTTCATATCTACGATTTTTAAGTTCTGCCCACCAAAGTTTTCTTTGGCTTGCACAAAACCTCTTCATCTCTGAGTCTTTCAAGCTTCTGATCAACGCATATTTTGGCACTCCACATTTAGGTAGTAGCCAATGGGGCGCATGCTTAGCCATGTCTGCGAATAACTTGTGCTCCCACCTTAACTACATAGCAAGGTTTGAATTATTAATTATTATTAAATAGATTATTATAATAATACTGTTGTTGTCAATAACATTATTATTAAATTAGCCTCTATACTAGTTGGGCACTTATTCGTAATATATATATTATCGGAATTTTCCTGTTTTTTTGGCCCGACAGAGTTTTCTGGATCATTGGGCTGAGGTCAAGACATGGCCGATTCTATCCTTTAGTGTCTCCATGGCCTTGTCTCTTTCGAACGGTAAAAAGGATACGGTCTTTTGCAATGAGCTTTTCATGGTGGGATCCTTACTGTCTTGACCTAAACCCGCCGATCCAGAAGGCTTTGTTCATCCACTAAGCAGGCAACTTGTACTAAGTTCCCAACAGGCACCCGAGTTGATTTATTTTAAGCATTTTACGCGTAATTGTGTTGGCATCAAGGCCTGTCGAGTCGAATGCAATCCTTTTGTATCTATGGCTGATCATTTTTTCTAGAGACCCACTACCCAATAGGTCTGAAGTGCCAAACTGCCATTGAACCGGACGTGTGGGAGACTCAGACATGAAGCGTTTGTCGGTGATCCAATGAAGTTCTTGCTGACGAAGACTCGAGGATAACTCCTATCCGTTCCAGGGCATCTATCTAACATTTATCCACTGCTAGAGCTCATTTTCTTATTTTATTTTTACACTTTTTCGACTGCCTTTGAAAGATTGCATTAGTTGTTCAACTTCAATGGATATTGTTAGACAGATTTTCAGATGCCTCAAGTGCTTGAGTACATAACTACTTTAGAACGGATTAATATCTCAAATAACCGGTCAATTTAAGATTATGTTGTGGATACTTGTTTGTTGGACTACTTAGCAGATATATTTAGTTAAGATGCCAAACAAATCTTACCGTTTTAATATACATCAAAGCTATACGTGACTCTGTGCTAATGCAATTTTTCACTTAAAGTCACTTGTTTTGAGAGTCGAAACTCCACTCTTTCCCGAAAGTTAAACTCTATGCATTGAGCTGGAACTTTAGACTTTTTCTAAACTAATCAAGCCTCTATTCGCTCACAGCACTCACAGAACTCCATCAAAATGCATGATCGCTGGCCAGCTTTCGTAAATTTATGACATGTCATGAAATTCCGCCTCACCGATCCTCCCAGACTCCACTCCTCTCGGCGCTTTGCTGATTCGATTTACTACGGTTCATTTTCATCTTTAGTGAAAGCTTATGACGAAATGATTATAAGGTCGGCGGAATATTTGCTCGTTCGCCTTAGCTAATGGTGAGCATGATGATGATGTTTATACCAAAAAAATTTCATTTTCTAGGAATCTCTGGAATTATACTTGTTGACTTAACTTTCAGTATTAGTCATGAGGATTTCAGGCAAGTTGCGTCAATCTAGGCTTCCCTGTCAAGACGGCCAATTTGCTAAAACTTAGCACATTTTCAGTGGAAGCTAATAAGTTTTCCTCGGATATCGCTTCATTCCGAATGTTCCAGGCATGCGTGGTTTTCTAGTGAGATTATCCTTTGAATCTCTTCGATCACTTTCACTCGAACTGGAAGTGAGCTCAACAGTGGTAGGCCAAGAGATTCTATGAGACCCAGTTTTTTTTTGGTATATTCGCAGCATTATTTGTATTTCGGTCATACTAGAATGAAAGTATGAAGACCAAGATGGTGTGGTCTTTTTTTGTGGTCGCAGTCTCCTTCCATTCTATAGAAGTTGTTTGACCTTGTTTTCGCTACTTGGTCATATTGGTAGGAAGACTTAGAGGAACGCACCTTGTC